CCAATGTTCATTAGTGTTCCCTGCCTGCCAGGCACTGTTCCAAGCCCCATTAATCCTCACAGCAGCCCTACAAGGCAGGTACTGTGACCAGTCCTCTTTCATATGTGACGTGGAGCCACTCGCCCGGGGTCACAGGGCTGAAAGGTGGCAGAGTGGGTCCTCGAACCCGAGCAGCCTGGTTCCAGAGACTCCAGATCACAACTCCTGCACTGCCTTTCATGTATCCAGCCCGTGACCGTGCGGTCTTCACTCACGCACTGAATAATGTCTCTGTGTTTCACTGTTTGCTCTGGCCCCTGTTACTTCCTTTGATTGCAGCAAAAGCTGCCCCGTTGATTTCGTTTCCACCAGTCCCCTCTCTGTTCATCTTGCCAATCAGAGATGGCTTAATCTTCCCACAGCGCCTCCTTCAGGGGTCCACTTCCCTACTCTTCACACTGTTTTTTAAAAAGTTTTATTGATATACAACCCACATATCATACAGTTCACTTATTTAAAGTTTACAATTCAGTGGGTTTCGGTGTATTCACAGAGCTTGGCATCCGTCACCACGATCAATTTTAGAACATTTTCATCACCCTGCAAAAGAAGCTCCGTACCTCTGATTTCCCCCTGCCCCCAGCCCCTGGCAACTGTGAACTTACTCTCTGTCTCTGTGGATTTGCCTATTCTGGACATTTCATGTAAATAGAACGTACAGTATGTGACTTTCTGTGTCTGGCTTCTCTCACTAAGCGTAATGTTTTCAAGGTTCTCTGTGTCAGTGCTTCATTTCTTTTTCTTGCTGAATAACATTGTCATGTGGATGGATGTACCACATCTTATCCGTTTATCAGTTGGTGGACATTTGGGTTGTTTCTACTTTTTGGCTATTGTGAAGGGAACTTTATTTTTATTTATTTATTTATGGCTGCGTTGGGTCTTCGTTGCTGCGCGCGGGGTTTCTCTAGTTGCGGCGAGCAGGGGCTACTTTTCGTTGCGGTGAGCAGGCTTCTCACTGCAGTGGCTTCTCTTGTTGCGGAGCACGGGCTGTAGGCGTGCGGGCTTCAGTAGTTGTGGCTCGCGGGCTCTAGAGCGCAGGCTCAGTAGTTGTGGCGCATGGGCTTAGTTGCTCTGTGGCATGTGGGATCTTCCCGGGCCGGGGCTCCAACCCGTGTCCCCTGCATTGGCAGGCGGATTCTGAACCACTGTGCCACCAGGGAAGCCCTTGGCTATTGTGAATAATGCTGCTCTGAACATTCATGTACAAGTTTTTCCGTGGACATATGTTTTCATTTCTCTTGGGTGTGCACCGAGGAGTGGAATTGCTACAGTAACTGTTTGACTGGTGAGGTCAAGAACTTTTAATAGCTCCTCAAAGCCCTCCGTCTAGTTTCCAAAGCCCTTTCCATCTGCTCTTGGTATCTGCTATTCCGAGTCACAGCCTGGCCGCTTCTGCCAGACCAGGCTCACCCTCACTGTCGGACCCGCGTGTCGGGGCCTCTGATCTGCGGCTCATGCTTCTCCCCCCAACTAGGACATGGTCCAGGGGCAGAGTCAGCCCACACATGTATTTCTTTGAGACACACAACGGCTTAAAAAATCGGAATTATTTGTGCAAGTGAGACTATACTTAATGATCCAGATTTTCATGTTCTCTAAAAATTGCAAGATTTGGTCACCGTGGGCCCACATACCTGTGAGGTACCCCCCGCCTGACTGCAGCTGAGGGCCACAGCCCTACCTTGTCCTTCTCACACCTTTCCTGGCCTGCTAGGTGCTGGGGTCCCTGACCTCTGACCTAGACCCATCCCTCCAAGGCCCAGCTCGGCTTGCTGCCCATCGCGCTCCACTTCCGAAAGCCGCTGGAGCTCGCGCGGCTCAGCTCCACACAGGAGGCTGTTCAGATGGGAGTGCTGGGTGGCTACAGGGGGGCTGTGACAGCACGAAGAACTGCAGGCTCTGGGGCCAGCTGCCTGGGTGCAGATCTCATGTTTACCCCCTTCTACCAGCTGTGTGACCTTGGGCCAGTTACCTGACTTCTCTGAACCTCAGTTTCCTTACAGTTTAAAATGGGGGTAGCAGTAGGACCCCTTTATCTGTTGTTACTGTGCGGGGTAAATGGACTGATATACATCTGTTATTATCAATGTTATCGTTACTGTCTTTTTCCTGATGTCTTCTCAGTGATAGTGTGCGAACTTTGGAGACCAGGCCGCGCCGGGGCTGGGAGCTCAGCCATGGCTTCTCAGCGGCGGGCACGCCGGGCTGGTTGTCCTGTGCGTCTGGGGTTCTGCCTCCTCGGCCAGAGCTGCAGCCTCACGCTCCACCCCGGAGGACGAGGGCACCTTCCCACGAGCCGGCTGTGGGCCTCACTTCCTGCCCCGCAGCGCTGGCGCCGCCACCAGGCCCGGCCTGTGGGGCTGAACTCAGGGCAGGTGGTCCCTGCTCCCCGTCCAGCTGGCTCGAGAGAGATGGCGAGCTGGGTCAGGGCAGGTGGGCCGGGCAGGTCTGAACCGGGAGCCACTTCTTTTTGTTTGTTTGAATTAAATATTGACCAGATAAAAAAGAATGCTTACACAATCTAGGGAAGATACGCAGAACTGTGTGACGAATGCCAGGGTACCTGCCAACCTTGTGTCCCTCCCCCAGTCCCTGTCCTTTGCGTTCCAAGTTTCAGGTAGACTTTCCCCTTGCTTCTCTTTATTGTTTCTATGTGTGTCCGGTTCCCTAAACAACGTGCCGGTTCATTTCGAAGAGCCGTCACACTGTGTGTGTGTGAGAGTTGAGTCTTTCTGTCCCTTTAACCTGCATTCACCATAATCTCTCCAGACCTGTCTTCTAATAACTGACTTTATTTCCAGCTGTTCCTAATCCATAAAACCCATCTATGGAATTTCTGGTTTCCCCTTGTATTTTCCATTGATTGAAATTCTGTTTATTCTGCTCATTTTATGTCATAGTTAGTTTTTAGCAAAGCAATCAGGTTTCTTTCCTCGGCACTGTGCCTTTGAGGTGGATTCCTGACGACGTGTGTGTGTTCACTTTCTCAGCCGTACAGCGTTCTGCGATGTGACTGCAGCAGCGCATCTGCTGCTCGGGGTGCAGCAGGGAGCAGACAGATGCAGTCCTACTTCGACGGAGCTTCAAGGGTTCCAGGGAAGACAGATAAACAGGCACCAAGTTAGTCAGGTGAACTGGCCAAAGACAGGACCCCCAGGAGGGGAGGCCCGGAGGTCGGTAAAAATCTCCTAGAAGCTGAGACCCGAAGGAAGAGTAGGAGTTGCTGGGTGGGAGAGCGGGTCCCATCTTACAGGTGGCGCCCGTGAACGCCGGGTAAAGACTGCTCTTCCTACCGTGATGGTACCTTTTCTGTACGTAAGGCTGTGATTGGCCCAGATTTTGGCAAGTCAGCTGAATGTGAACATGTCGTCTGAGCTGCTGTGCATTTGAACCCTAAGCCTTTAGACCACCGCATTGTATGTATTCGAGACACTGATAATCAGAGTTCATGCCAAGGTCTGGAGGAGGGAGAGTAACGTGTGTGGTTAACCAGCTCCTGACTCTGCTTGTCCTAGCCCTGGGCCTCTGATTCTTTCCTCTCGCGTAGAGCCAGGACAGTCGTGGTACCCTCTGCGCAGGATCTCATGGGTGTGACGGGGACAGTCATGGTACCCAGTGTGCAGGATCTCGTGGGTGTGACGGGGACAGTCGTGGTACCCGCCGTGCAGGATCTCGTGGGTGTGACCGGGGGGGCGGGTGCCTGGCATCTCCGCACTGTCCCAGGCACAGCAGGCGTCAGTGTTGTCACTGCCGGGCTCTGTGATCAGTGTTCTGTGTGTCACCCTCATTTAGCCTCTCAGTAACTGTCCACCGGGCAACTTGCCGTCTCCACCTGTATGTCTAAAGCTTAAAACGAGCTCCTGGTTTCCCCTCTACCAGACCATCCCTCTCCTAGTCTCCTCATCTCAGTAGATGCCGCCGCTGCCCGTGTTTGCTCAGGCCCGAGTCCTAGGAGTTGTCTCCGGTCCCTCCCTTGCTCGTGCTTCCCCGCATCGGTCAGCGGGCCCAGTCAGTTCTGACCCCTGAAAGGATCGTCCGCTCCGTCCAGCTGCCCTTTCGATGCCACTTTAGCCCAGGCCCCACCGTCTCCCGCTGGGCAACCGCACAGCCTCCTCCTCGGTCTCCTCTTTCTGTAGCCACTCTCCCCGCAGCAGGTCGGGCGTCCGTGAATGTACGGAAGAGCTTGTTGTGTGCTGCTTCCGACCCTCCAGTGGCTTCCCCTGAGCTTAGAAACAAGTCCAGCCTCGTCTCCAGGTGCTCCGAGCCCTGCCCTCCTGCCTGCTCTCTCCCGCTCACCTCCTTCTGGGCGCCTGGCGGCCGAGCTTGTTCCTGCCTCAAGGCTTTTCCTCTCGAAGCTCCCCTCCATCCGGAATGTTCTCCCCAGCTTCTTGCAGGGCTGCCTCTTCAGGTCTCAGAGGGGCCCGGCCGTTCCCCTCTGTCACGAGCTCTGTCTGTAATGTCTTTGTTAGCTTTTCTCCCTCCCATCTTCCCTCCCTCCCTCCCTCCCTCCCACTCACTGTGAGCTGCCGGCAAGGACCTGTCTGTCGCCCGGCGACTCACGCGCGTGGTAGGGGGTGGCAGTGAGCCCCATTTGATGGCAGCATGCAGAGCAGAGACTCAGAAGTCACTCGTCAGGGTCATGTGCTAGCAGGCCGCCCAGGCCCTCGCTGTAACGCGCAGGGCCAGACCTGATGGCCAGGACCCAGGATCCGCGCATGCAGTCTGGCCTCAGCGGGGACCAGAGCCTTCCCCAGGCAGGTGCCCGGAGACGCCCAAGGGGCCTGACACCTCCTGGCGGAACGGTTCTCGTTGAAGGGAGGTGGCTCAGAGACGCCGCGCTCCTTCCTCCCCCTGTGCTGCCCTGTGGCCCACTCTCCACACTGGGGACCCGAAGCACAGGTGGGGCTCCTGGCGCTCATCGGGGAGCTGCTTACGACCTTCGCCCTCCTCCCGCTCAGGTCGCACCAGCTTCTACGAGGAGTACGGCGTCATCGGTGATGTCTTGCAGAACCACCTGACCGAGATCCTCATGCTGGTGGCCATGGAGCTGCCCCTCAACCTCAGCAGCTCGGAGGCGGTGCTGGGGCACAAGCTCCAGGCCTTCCGGGCCCTGCGGGGCCTGCAGAGGGGCAGTGCTGTCGTGGGCCAGTACCAGGCTTACCGCGGGCAGGTGCGCAGAGAGCTGCAGAAGCCAGACAGCTTCCACAGCCTGACGCCGACCTTTGCAGGTGGGCTCCGGGGCTGGGCACGGGCTGCGGGCCGCCCCCACCCCTATCCCCCAGACGGAAGCACTGCTCCCAACCCGGACGCCCTTCAGGTTGGGTTGGAAGGGACTTGAAGTGGGGTTTTCACAAGGGTGCTCCGTGGCGAGTAAGAAGTACCCCTGCCTCTCTGACCTCCCGCCAGCTCAGAGCTGCGGGTCACCTGCTGGCTCCCTCTGGGCGGAGGACACCTCAGTGGCGGTCTCCATTCAGTCCATGTCCATGGATCCTGCCCGGGCTCGCCAGTCTGGGCTCAGACCTCGCTTTGCCCTCGTGGAGCTTACATCAGCCCCCAGAGAGGCTGCAGGCCTGCCCGCTGCAGCCGGGGGCACCCCCAGTGGGCAGGTGCCCAGCGGGGCCGTCCTCTGGACGCTTCCACAGGCTCAGAGCTTTCTGGGGTAGCAGCCGCCACAGCCAGAGGAGCAGCTGCCTGTCGGGCACTGACCACGTGCTGGACTTTATGTACATTATCTCATTTAATCCTCACATGGACAGACGCATCAGGCAGGTGTGATCATCACGCCCCGCTAGAGGTGAGGAACCATGAGGCTCAGTCAAGTTGCCAAACCTTGCCCAAGGTCACGCAGAGATAGTACGTGGGAACTTGAGTCTGGAGGGCACTCGGCGTCCGGCTCTTACCGCCGTGGTCCCCGCTGCAGGCCTCCTCACCTGCACGGCAGTTCCCCACTGGCCTGTGGCTGCGAGCCCTGTCCACCCTCCCCTTCTCCCTGTATGTGACGGCCTCAGCACGTCCTGTGTGCTCTGCAAACAGGAAGGAAGTCCGTGTCCCTAGGAACCCACAGCCCCTCAGTCAGGATCGCTGCTGCCTTGCCCACCCTCCTTGAGACTCCTCTCAGAGCCTCTGGGTTGGAGCCTCTCAGTCCAGTTCCCCTTTGCTTGGGGACGATGACTCTGAGAGGTGCCTCAGGGAGCTGGGTGTCCGAGGTGGCCCCAGAGGCTGCTTTTCAGCACCGACTGGGCAGAGATGGTAACAGAAGAGGTGAAAGATGGGGGTGAGGCCAGCGAGGCCAGGGGTGCCCAGAGGAGGGCTCGCAGAGGGGAAGGCTTGCTGGCAGGAAGGAAAGGAGAGGAAGGCAGGTGGGCCGAGAGGACCTGGTTCTTATGCTGGAGCATCACCTCCACTGCCCCCCGTCACCCCAGGCGTCCTCGTGCACATC